GACATTCAGCCTGAACCCATAGGCTTGTGTTTATTTTTTACTTTTTTGGTCAAGAGTTTCATACAGGTCGATAAAAAGTCTACCTTTGTGTTCCACTGATAAAATAACAGAATATAAATAAATACATAAATGTCTTTTGGATTAACTATCTGTTAAATATACATAAATGTGTGGTAAAAGCAGTGTTATTTTAGAATTATCTATATATATATAGACATTTTAATAGATTATTTATAAAATATGATATGGACATATTTTGTGAGATTCAGCTCATTCTCTGCAAGTGTCCAGGTCAAAATATTTCCATATATATATATATACAGTATATAAAATGTTTTGTGATATTCAACTGTCTCTCTTTAGAAGTAAATATAATTATATTTGATTTCATAACTATTAAACACACCCAAGTTCTCATTATTGTAATTTGTTTTAATGTTTTTGTAATTGTTATTAATATTGCTCGCCGTTTTCTTGCCTGGCAAATGATAAAATGGATGAAAAAATCCAACCATATAGCAAACTACCAAAATGACCTAGCAATGAATTAATTAATATAATTAATTAAAAAATGTAAGATAGATAGATTTTTTTTTTTTTGCAAATTTAATATCAAATTATGACAAATACTGCAATTATATATACACTTTGCTATTGAAATACACTTAATAATAATAAAAAAAATTCATAATAAATAATTCTGGCTGTAATAAATAAATAATAAAAATAAAGTAAAATTGATAATATATTTTTGCATTGCAGTAATTATGAAATATGAAAATATCATACAGCAAAAATATTGATTGTACAAAAACAGGCTTCATTTTCTGTGAGATTCAGCCAGAGCGAGTGTTATTTTTCGGCGTTTTTCTTTAATCGATTCCTTCTCTCTGTGCACACAGTTCATCTCTCTGTGTTCTTATTGTGAATAAATGTATTTTATTTTTCTTTAAATTTCACTTTTATACTCTATTGGTATTCGTCTCGTATTCCATTCAGTTTTTTCAGCCTCTCTTTTCTATCTCTGGTGTGTCTCTGGGCAGGCATTGATTTTCTGCAGAGAGAGTGTGTGTGTGTGTGTGTGTGTGAATGTGAAAATAGCTGTGCATAGCAGTTGTGGTTCATGCAATCCTGTGAATCCAGATTTAGTCATGTAATGACTGTTATATTACATCTAGCATACATTACTGTGGTTTTCGTACAGAAAACAGGTACGTTCTTAGAACTCCATATTTTGGATGTGCTCACAATGTGTCCACGCGATCCCTGGAGAGCAGAGTGCCTCACTGTGATGTTTTCTCTGTGTGTTCAGTAAACGCAGAGCGCTGAATCGATAGAGGTGGTAAAAGACTTACAGCCACACTAAGCCAAAGTCCACTTAATGGCAAGACAATTTATCAAAGTGAGCGAGAGAGGTAGAGAGAAACCATTGTTTCAGTTGCTCAAATGCTGTAAGTACACTGGGCACTTTAACAGTTACTGTTGTGATATTGTGTGTCTCACATCAGTGTGAATCGATTTGTCTTTTTTCTGTAATTTTGCCCCTATTACAGCAACTGTCTATTACCTGTTTGCCATCCTTCAAGAAGGTACAATTTCAAAGAGTTAAAAGTATTTCTGAGTAGTGGTCAGTTGATATATCGGCCGGTATTTGGCATTTTTAAATATCTGCATCGACCAATAAGTTTTGCTGTTTGGCCGATGTGATTTGATGGCGCTGAGAGCGGCATTCTCCCACTTCATTGTTTGTTGTCACCATTTAACAGTTCTGTCTAATACAGATAGAAGTCTGTCTAATAATCAGATAGAACTGTTAAACAAAGGAATTGAAAGGCATACAAAAAAGTATATATATATATATATATATATATATATATATATATATATACACAGTATATATAGATAGATATAGATATAGTGACAGTTATCAGTTGCTGGTGTGGATGCAAATATAGTTATCATTGTATTTATAGTTATCTTTATCGCTCTTGGTGTGAACGGGTCTTAACAATAAATAAAAAAATAATAATACAGCCTGTAAATCAGAGGTTCGAGATTGAACATGAGGATAAATTGTGAATCCGGTGGAAATTTTTCTGCATGCATAAATATACAAATTGTACAAGGCTATTTTATTTTATTTTGTTTTATTTTATTTTGCAACAAATGCATAAAGCACACGGAGGAAAAATTATATTAGTGAAGTGCAGTGAAACACTGGAATTGGCATTTATGTTACTGAGCCAACACTCAGCACTCGTCCAACAAAACTTCTCATTTGCATTAATATTCATCTTTTAATATCCATTTTCATAATGGAAACACAACACCATCCACTTACTAATTAAATTAAACTCTCAGATTCTTAAAAAAAAAACTAATTTAATTAGATCTAGTTCCTCTGCGGGTAGAGGAAAGAAAAAGCCTTTAGGAAAGATAAGAAAAGATCGCTCATGTTCTTTGAAGTGTCTGAGATGTGCAAAGACCAAAATGTTTCTCCCTCAGGCCAGTGGACCCTCAACCCCATATATTTTATGTAACGCATTTATGTATTCATGAAACTACATTATGAAATTCATTTTAAGGTGGGGTGAAGTTCTTCAAGAGCTCGTTCTCCACTGGGGAAAAGGCTCTTTGATGCTTAAAATCTCCATAGAATCTTTAAACTATCTTTGCATCTTCTAATGCTGAGCAGGTAGGTAGCAAATGCAGTTATGGTAATGAAGATTTCAAAGGAACAGACCCAAATGAAAAATGAATGCAACTGCACTGCTTCAAATCCATGCTATCCATATAGGAAGCACTAAAATGGCTCTTCAATGGTTTGCGGTTTTGATGCTCTGATGCTTAAGTTGAGCTTTCGTCGGTTTGTTTGTTTTGGCTAGCAGAACTTTTGCTCTTTGCAATCCTGTCAGAGGAGTTTGTGTTTTAAAGCCCCCCTGCCATTTTTCTGATAGGATTGGCAGGGACGTTCATGCAGCACACTGTTAGTTTTGTGTTGTGCTGCATTTGTGTGTTTGTTCTCTCAAATAATTAAGTCTTCCCGCGGCTCTGTTCTCTGACACAGCAGTGAGGAGAATCCACTGCTAAACAAACACTCTCTTAATGACCGCACTGTTTTCTCTCCCTTTCTTTATTCTAAGGCTTTATCTTCACCCTAAAAAGTGGATATTTGCATAATTATATGCTTGATGGACTAACTCAAGTATTGTTGCATGTACGAGATGAAGGATTCGATTAACCTGCAGCAGACCTGTGAATCTAAACACCACGAATGACACAACAGCACTTTACGTTTCATAAACGGTGTCATAAAGAGGAAATTAATTACTAATAGTTGTTGGATGGTGGCTGTTGTTGTGCTTAAAGTAAAGAAAGTTTTGTGAAGAAGTTTCTTCTGTCATTAAAATGAGGAGGGAGCAAGAACGAGGGCGAAAAAATGAGCACTTAAAGACACTTTTGTCGTTTACTGCCTGGTTAAACTGGGTGGTACTGGGTCATCGTGCTATCGTGCTGTCTGTCTGTCTGTCTGTCCGTCCGTCCATTTATCCATTGTGTGTCTGTCTGTCTGTCTCTATCTGTCTGTCTCTGTCTGTCTCTGTCTGTCTGTCTCTATCTATCTATCTATCTATTGCGCTCCCAGGTTCTCTGTCGGGACACATGCTCAGTTGTTCCTCTGCACCTGCCGGAGAGGTTCTGACAAGCTTGTGTGTCCACTGAGGGCTGCTTGCTTTACATGCATCCCATCTATCGTCCATTCATCGTGCTATCGTTTATCCTTCCGTCCGTCCGTCCGTCCGTCGTGCTATCGTGCTGTCTGTCTGTCTGTCTGTCTGTCTATCTATCCATCCGTCCGTCCGTCCGTCTCTCCGTCTATCTATCCGTCTGTCTGTCTGTCTGTCTGTCTGTCTGTCTGTCTGTCTGTCTGTCTATCTATCTATCTATCTATCT